TGCTGTTGGCAGCACTGTTGTTGTGTGCAACTTGCTTCCTGCTGCTCTTGCTGCTGCAGGTCGATGGCCGGCACGCATGCAGCTCAGCAGCAGCACTTGTTGTTGCTAGTTGTTCTGCTGCGTGGCGCCGCTGCTGCTGCTGCTGCTGCTGCTGCTGCTGCTGCTGCGAGTGCTGCTCGTCCTGTTGCTGCTGCTTTACTGCTGCTTCCTGTCTTCGATTGTTAAGGAATTGCTGCAGAAGCTGCATGGTGAGCTGCTGCTGCTGCTGTTGCTGCTGCTCTGCATGCTTGACTGCTGTCTGCAGCAAGTCCCATTTAAGTAGGGCTCGCTGCAGCACAACTGTCTGATGCTGCTGCAGCGCTGCTGCCATTTGCTGCCGCTGCTGCTGCTCTTTGGCCTGCAGCTGCTTCTGCTCCTCTACAAGTCTTATCCACTCCTTGTACTCACGGGCATCCTCCTCCTGCCACTGCTGTTGCTGCTGTTGCTGCTGCTGTTGCTGCTGCTGTTGCTCCTGCTGTTGCTTCTGCTGCTTCTGCTGCCGTTCACGAAGCGTGCGCTGCTGTTCGTGCTGCTGCTGCTGCTGTTGCTCTCCCTTTGTCTTCTTATCCGCGGAGCCCGTCGAGGAGGACGACTCTGCATGCGCTGCGCTGTCGCACCTCCCCGCGGCCTCATTAGAATGGCTGCCGTGCTGCTGCTGCTGCTGCTGCTGCTGCTCGTGCTGCCGCTGTTGCTGCTGCTCGCGTGGCTGTTGTTGCTGCTGCATGGGTGGCTGTTGCTGCTGCTGCTGCTTGCGCAGCTGCTGTTGCTTTTCTGGTCCGTCGTGCTGCTGCTGCTGCTGCTCGCATGGTTGCTGCTGTTGTTTCTCGTGTGGCTGACATTGCTGCTGTCCGTTTGTCAGCAGCAGCAACTGCTGCTGCTGCTGCTGCTGCTGCTGCAGGCAGTTCTCGTCTAGCTGCTCTTCCTTCGAACAGTAGCCCTGCCAATCCAAAAAATGCGTAGTTAGAGGCTTGCATGCGCCCTGCTGCTGCTGTTGCTGCTGAAAGTGCTGCTGCTGCTGCTGCTGCAACTGCTGCTTTTGCTGCTGCAAAAAGAGATCCAGCTGTACCTGCTGCTGTTGTTGCTGCTGTTGCAGCTTCTGCTGCTGCGTCTTCCCATCCTTGCCACGAGGGATGAAATTGAGGTCACGGGCCTCAGATAGGGTTTGCTGCATTTGCTGCTGCTGCTGCTGCTGCTGTTGCTGTTGCTGCTGTTGCTGCTGTTGCTGTTGTTGCTGCACTTTCACGGCGCTGTGTGCCCCGCGAGAGTCCATTGCTCCTGCGAGCTGCCGCTGCAGCCACCTTTGCTGCTGCATGCATGCAGACCTGCTGCCGCTCCCATATCTTTTGTTGCTTGCTGCTGACAGAATATGCCCATGCAGCTGCTGCAGCTGCTACTGCTGCCGCTGCTGCTGCTGTAGCTAGTGCTCCCTCATGTGATGCGCCTTCGCGCAGGCTAGACTCCCTTGCGCCGCAGCAACTGCTGCAGCTAGTCCCTCACACAGGGGCAAGAATCCTGTGTTGCTGCTGCTGCTGCTGCTGCTACTTCTGCTGCTACTGTTGCAGCAGCTGCTGCGGCTTTGTTGCTGCGCACCTGTCCGGTGCAGCAGCAGCAGCTCCTTCCCTCGCAGTAACAAAAGTACGGCAGCAGATTCCCACGTACAAGCAGCACCACTTGCTGCTGTGGTTAAAGTTCTGTATGCTGCAGACCTACAGCAGCAGCAGCTGCAGCTGCAGCAGCAGCAGCAGTTACACCGCGAGTGTGGGAGGTTCGTCACATGAGTTGGCCCTTTATATAATGCCTTTGGCTTGGAGGACACCTTGAGGGCGCCTGGCGCTGCAGCAGCTGCTGCAGCCCTTGCTGCTGTAGCCCTTGCTGCTGCAGCCGTTGCTGCTGCAGACGTTGCTGCTGCAGCCGTTGCTGCTGCAGCCGTTGCTGCTGCAGCCGTTGCTGCTGCTGCCACTGCGGTTGTTGCTGCTGCTGCGGCTGCTTGTGGAACTGCTGCTGCTGCAGTCGTCCTCCCCCCCCTACTGCTGCCTGCTTCGTTGCTCCCTCTATGTACTGAGCAGCAGACTTGGGTGTACACCCCAGTTCTTAGGCAGCAGCAGCAGATGCTGCTGCTGTTGCTGCTGATATTGAGCTGCTGTTGCTGCAGTTGCTGGAGCTGCTGCTGCTTCTGCTGCACCAGTACTTGAAACACAGGAAGGTCACCTTAGTATAAGACGAGGAAGGGGGCCCCCCCTCCCTTTGCTGCCTCCCTTTATAGGCTGTGCCCTAATAAATATATAAATAAATCAAATTAAATTAAATTAAAAAAGAAATATAACAATTATATCTACTGTACAGACAGCCGACTCGTCGGGGCTGAGACGAGAGGCCGTATATAATGATCTGCTGCTGTTGCTGCTGGTGTTGCTGGTGTTGCTGCTGTTGCTGGTGTTGCTGCTGTTGCTGCTGTTGCTGC